GTTAAGGGTGAAGGTTAGAGGTTAGTGGTTGGGTGAGGGTTTAGGGTTAGTAATTACTTGGGAGAGTTAGTAGTCATGGTTAGGAGACAACAGTTAATGTTAACTGCTATTGCTGACACAATTGCTTCTGGATATGCTGGAACAATAAAAATACTGAAGCCACCAATTCAGTTTCAGCTTCTGTGTCATTGGGCTAATGTACCATGAACCACTCACGTGATGGAAGTGACTACAAGCCCCTTCAGTGTTTTTCCTGCCTGTGAAGTCAATCATAAGCTAATCAAAGAGATTGGCTGTACTGGAGATCCTCTCACCCTGATTCATTAAACAATTAGGAATTACCTCCAATTGTTCTTGCCGCACAACTTTATTTTAAAATTTCAAGCTTTAAAATTCGTGTTTGATGTTGGGGCACACAACCAATGTATTTTACATCTGACTTTTAGCTTGACGGAACTTAATGGTGTCCCTAGCTGTGGAATCGTAATTTGTAGCAACGGCATTATTTGAAAATAATAAAGTGCAGACATAAAGATGTCAGGAAGAAAGTAATATATAATACTCCGATTGTGTTAGAATAAGGTATCCCTTTTAGTTCTGGCTGAACAGGGAATGTAATCAATCTTGAGGCTGAGGCACTAACTGATTTGAAATATCAGACAAAAATAAAGAAAAACAAGTTAGAATTTGGGTTGTCAACCATCCCAGAATATTTTTTAATTTATTCGTTGAACATGGGTGTTGCTGGAGGGCAGCATTTATTGCCTCTCCCTAGTTACCCCTTGAGAAAGTGGTGCTGAGCTGCGTTCTTGAACCACTGTGGGTTGACCCACAATGTCCTTAGGGAGGGAATTCTAGGATTTTGACCCAGCAACACTAATATATTCCCAAGTCAGGATGATTAGTGGCTTGGAGGGGAACTTGAAGGTGGTGCTGTTTCCATGTATATGCTGCCTTTGCCCTTTGTGGTGGATGTGTGGAAGTGTTCGTGGGTTTGGAAGGTGCTGTCTAAGGATCTTTGAATTTCTGCAGTGCATCTGTAGATAGTACACACTGCTGCTACTGAGCATTGATGATGGAGGGAGTGGATACTTGTGGATGTGGTGCCAATCAAGTGGAGTGCTTTGTCCTGGATAGGGTCAAGCTTCTCGAGTGTTGTTGGAGCTGCACCCATCCAGGCAAGAGGGGAGTATTCCATCACTCTCCTGACTTGTGCCTTGTCGATGGTGGAAGGATTGTAGATGAATGTCCAGGAGTCTGCAGGGACAGCAGATGGATCATTCAGGTATTGCTGAGAATAAGAAAGGACATACGTGAAGCTTTGTACCCTTGAATTTGCTTTGCCCAATAACAGGAAAACACCTCTTTCTCAAAACCCCTTGGCTCAAAATTGTGAGCGAAGGCATTTGATTCTTAGATTCTCTGTCACTGATGAGGCAAATATTGGTAAACAAGTACCTTCCAATTAGTGAGGAGATCAAGGGTTACGGAGAGAAGGCACGAGATGAGCTTGGGAAACATATCATCGAATGTGGAGCAGACTCGATGGGCTGAATGGCCTAATTCTGCTCCTATATCTGTCAGACCACCCAGGATATGTTCACTCAGAGTTTTGCAACATAAACATAGTCCTGCTCAGGGTCTTGTTTGGTCCTTTGTTCATCTCCTGCTCTCCATTTGCTCCACCATTGGTGGCACTGTAATGACCTCCCGAAACCTTGCGACCTCTGTTCCCCAATGATTAGAACTCTTCAAAGGAAGTTAATGTCCCTTAGGAGAGTCCTGGAAATGGAGGGGGGGCATGTGGTCGGGTGGACAGGGGTGGGGTAGAGATCCAGTTGAAAGGTGATCCTCAGGGTCTTGGTCAGGTGGATGCTGGAATTATGTTTACCTTTAAGGTGCGAGACTGAAACATAGGGACACAGGAATCTCCCATTTCAGATGGAGGTAAGGATAATTCTTTTCTCTCAGAAGGTTGGGAGTCTGTGGAATACTGTTTCCTGGGGAATGGGTCTTGGAATATTTTTAAGTCAGAACTTGACCAATGGAGCCAAAGGGAAAAGTAAAGTTCAGGCTACAGTCAAATCACCCGTGATCTTATTGAATGGCAGAACATGCTGGAGGGGCTGAATGGCCTACTCTCATTCCTGATTTGTGGGTTGGCATTTATTAACCTCTCCCCTGTCCCCAATTCAGATTCTTCTGATTGAGATGACCAACTAAGGCTTGTATCTCATGCCACCTTCGCTGCTCCTTTACCAGCCGAGCCTTGTTCCACTCCATGTGCGAAGGTGCACGCTAACATCATCCTGTGGTGTTTGGGGATTGGGCCTCGGATGTAACCCTCTGCAGCAAATGTCATCTGTCCCCCTGCTCCAAGAGTCCTCACGAGCCCTTCACACTGACCACCCCTGTCCAGTAACACTTGTCTGGTTGCACCCCTCAGTGAGGCCACCGTCTGCCCCTGTCCCCCAAGTCTGGCTCTCTTGTCGCCTGCAGCATCCCCCCTGCTGTTTGGAGGTGGACTGTTCACCTTCTCAAGGCCTGGTGATAGGCAGCTCACAGCGTAACCAACTCGCAATTCACTTGGAGCCCCTGGAAATTGCTGCAGTGGGGTTGTCTGATCAATGAAGCCGCCAACATTAAACTTGGCCTCACTTCTCCACCCAAGAGTTCTGCCTTTAGCTCAGCATTAATTAATCTGATAATACACTGGGGTTGGATTGTTTTGTATGTTACAGGTGCAGCAAAAATATGAGAAGTTATTGTAGTTGGACCAGATAGTCGTGAATCCCATCACTTAGATGGTCCTCTTCGTTTTCTCTGGGTAACTGAGCAGAAAGCCCCCAGTGGTTACCCATTCTCATGTCCTGTTTACCCGTGCCCCATTGGCCAGCTGCCCTTTCTGCTCTGCTTGGTGTGACCCATTTGCAACAGCCAATGAATGAGAGAGGCACGTTCGGCTGCTGGAATCAATTAGTTACCAGGCTCGACTTTGCCTGAGTTCACTGATAGCAGGAACTCAGTCCCCTTTGTGATCTCCTCCTCCACTTAAATCCCTTCTGGATTTATGCTTTACAATCCTCTGTGGCATAGGGCTCAGATTAGAAACGAAGAAAATCTAGACAGTGGCACAGTGGCTCAGTGGTTAGTACTGATGCCTCATAGCGTCAAGGACCCGGGTTCAGTTCCACCCATGGGTTACTGTCTGTGTGTAGTTTGTACATTCACCCTGTGACTGTGTGGGTTTCCTCCCACAGTCCAAAGATGCGCAGGCTAAGCGGATTGGCCATGCTTAATTTCCCCCTGGTGACCAGGGATGTGCAGGCTGGGTGGGTTAGCCATGGGAAATGTGGGGTTATAGGGATAGGGTAGAGGGCTGGGTTTGGGTGGGATGCTCTTCAGAGGGTCAGTGTGAAAATCAATGCGCCGAATGGCCTTTGCCACACTGTAGGAATTCAATTATTCTAAACCAGGAGCGGAAACAAACCATTCGGCCCATCGAGCCCACCCCATTCAGGATAATTTCTCGATGCCTGTAGATTCTAGAACCTTAACTATTTCTTAAAGTTCACCTCTACAGTGAATACAAGCCCAGTTGACCCAGTCTCTCCCCCATATAACAAACCTGCCAGCAGATTACCAGAGCGAGGCTGAAGGAGGTGAATATTCCCAAATCTAACCATTTGATCAGCTGTGGCTCAGTGTGCAGCCAGCTTCAGAAGATTGTGAGTTCAAGTCCCACTGTCACCTGAACAAAATCTAAGTTGCTAATGTGGAAGGAGCATTTCCCTGTTTTAAAAAGGTGTAGAGCTGGATGAACACAGCAGGCCAAGCAGGCCAAGCAGGCCCTTCAGAAGAAGGGTCTAGGCCTGAAACGTCAGCCTTCCTGCTCTTCTGATGCTGCTTGGCCTGCTGTGTTCATCCAGCTCTACACCTTGTTATCTCAGATTCTCCAGCATCTGCAGTTCCTACTATCTTTGAAACCCTTTCCCTGTTTTAATTCATTTGTTCATGAGATGTGGGTGTCGCTGGCTTGGCCAGCATTTATTACCCATCCCTAATTGCCTAGAGGGCAGTTAAAAGTCAACCACATTGCTGTGGGTCTGGAGTCACATGTTTGGATTTGATTTGCTTTATTGTCACGTGTGCCTAGGTATGAAAAGTTTTGCATGCAGTACAGGCAGATCATACCATACAAAGTGCGTTAGGGTAATAGAACGGAGTGAGGAATCCAATGATACAGCTGCAGAGAAGGTGCACAAAGGGGAAGATCAATATTAAACTTAAAATTTGAGAGGTCCATTCAGAAGTCTACTAACAGTGGGGAAGAAGCTGTTCTTGAATCTGTTGGTATGTGTGTTTAAGCTTTTATAGGCCAGACCAGGTAAGGATGGCAGTTTCCTTCTCTAAAAGACATTAGTGAATCTGATGGGCTTTTCCGACGATGAACAATGGTCATCATTAGACTCTTGTTTCCAAACTTAAAAAAAAATTAAATTCAAATTACACCATCTGCAATGGCAGGATTTGAACCCTGGTCCTCAGAATATTACCAGAATTTCTGGATTAACAGTCCAGCAATAATGCCCCTAGACCATTGCCTCCCCAAGGCCCTGTCCGTTCCATCAGGTGGCAGGAAAAGATCCCATGATGCTATTTTTTCCTAAAAGGGAAATTCTCTCTGAAGTTCCAGCCAAAAGTTACCCTTCGAAGCCAGATCACTAAATCCGATTACCCGATGGCTATCACATTGTTAATAATGGGAGCTTGCTGTGCCTGCAAATTGCAGCGGAATGATGACCAAGTGGAGGGCTTTGGGACATCTAGCGGCTGTGGTAGGTGCTGCATAAATGCAGGTTCTGTTTGATTTTCGCTTGGTTTTCAGATGTGTGGAAGTTCTCAAGCCAACTTTGAAGAAAACAGTTTCCATCAGCGTACCTTTGGCTCGGCAACATCTTAAAGAGCAGAAATAACATGGTTATTTATTTCCTTCACAGAATGAAAAGACTCTGGGCCATTCTGCCAGTCGTTCTAGCAACATCTCAAAGGTATGCCCTGAATTTTCAATTCCTGCCTTGCCATTGAACATATCAACAAACAGTAGGCCATTCAATTCCGCAAGCCTGCTCTGTTGTTCAATATAATCAAGATTGAACTGATTGGAGCCTTAAATCCATATTCCAGTTGACCCCTTGATAACCTTTCACCCTTTAACAAGGATCCACTCACCTCTATCCTAACAATATTCGAGAACTCTGCTTCCAACACCTTTGAAGGAAGAACGTTACGAAGATTCTGAGAGAACAAAATTGCCCAATCTCTCTTTTAAAGGGGAAACTTTCGATTATTTAACAGTTGCCCCTAGTTCTAGATTCGCTTATTCTCCCCCCTCCACCACCCCAAGGATCTCATGCATTGCAGTCAGTCATTTCCTCCTCTGAAATACTCCAACAGTGGTGTGGAGGTGCCGATGTTAGACTGGGGTGGACAAGGTCAAAAATCACACAACACCAGGTTATAGTCCGACAGGTTTATTTGAAGACACAGCTTTCGGAGTCTTGCTCCTTCTTAACTCCAACAGATATAAGCCTAACCTGTCCAACTCTTCCACATTGGGAATTCCATTCCATACCAGGTAATAAACTAATAAATTATCTCTGAACTGCCCCTAACATAGAGTCATGGAGAATGTGCAGCATTGAAACAGACCCTTCAGTCTAATGCCGATCCAGATATCCTAAACTCATCTAGTCCCATTTACCTGCATTTGGCTCATATCCCTCTAAATCCTTCCTATTCGTGTACCCATCCAGATGTCTTTTAAATGTTGTAATTGTACCAGCCTCCACCACCACCCCTGGCAGCTCATTCCATACACGCACCACCCTCTGCAAGAAAAAGTTATCCCTCATATTCACATCTTTTCTTGAATAAGGAGATCAATACTGTGCGCAGTGCTCTGGATGTGGTCTTACTGGTACCCTGTGTAACTGAAGCATAACCTCCCTACAAGGGGTGACATAGACAGTTTCCTAAACAACCAGTTCAGGGATGTTACTACACACCTCTGGAGCAGATGGAGTTGGGGGGGGCGGGGGTGGAGCTTGAAACCAGGCCTACCACTGCACCTCAAGAACCAATCTATTTCACTCTGCTAGATGATAATTAAGGTGACTTTATTGTAAATTATTGTTGCTCTGACAGTCTTTTTGTTGAGAACGGCCTCACTGTGCAGGACTCCTGTTTAATATAATTAATTTAAATCAACCTGTTATTCCACACCTGTAGAGCAGATGGGACTTGAACCAGGGCCTCCTGGACTCAGAGGCAGGGACACTATCACTGAGTCACAAGGGTCCTCATGTCCTGGCTCACTTATCCTTGGATTAAAAGCCTTGGTCCCATCAGCCTCTCGTTAAAGTTCCACTGATTGATTGGCTTGACAGGAAGATGACAGCAGTGTTCCCTCGGATTTAAAGATAATGGCTGATTAACACTGTCCTTAACAGTCAGAATAATTAATCCATTAATCACTGCATCCACTAACGCGGAAGCAGGCCAGGAGATATGATTTCTGAAACCTGCAGAAACGTCAGCCTTTCTGCTCCTATGATGCTGCTTGGCCTGCTGTATTCATCCAGCCCTGCACCTTGTTGTCTTGGATTCTCCAGCATCTGCAGTTCCTACTATCTCTGAGTAACGGAGTTGTTTCTTTTTGGTTCGGTTTTGATTTCAAAGTGCATACCGACTGGGGACACCCCCCACAAACCTTCAGGGGAATCTAGTAAAAGCCAAGTCAATCTTGCCCGAGGAAGAGTCATATCAGACATGAAATGTTAACTCCGTTTCACTCTCCACCAATACTGTCAGACGCGCTGAATTTCTCCAGCTTTTTCTGTTCTTATTTCAGATTTCCAGCGTCTGTGGTATTTTTAACCAACTCAACCAGGCCTGACCTGCCTCTTGGTTGCGTTTGCCTGTCTTGGTTCTATGACCATTTTAACTGCCCAATTCCTTTGTTGTCCAACTGTTTAATCTGGGCAGTAACCTCCAGAAGACACTTCGCCTTCTTGACTTATCTTGACAGACCTTGGCCATTCTGTTCTAATCTCCCATGAACGATTGTAACCGACTCAACATTCACACGGGCTTTCTTTTGGAAGATTCAGGCCTACGCTTTGGGTGTCACAGTCAAGGCCAATATTTACTGCTCAGAGTTAGTAAGAACTGCCAATGCTGGAGTCAGAGATAACAAGGTGTGGAGCTGAAGGAACACAGCAGGCCAGGCAGCATCAGAGGAGCAGGAAAGCCGACGTTTCAGGTTGGGACCCTTCTTCAGAAATGCATTTACTGCTCATGTCTGGCTGCTCACTAGGCCTCTACAATTCAGAGGCAACAAGTCCCTGGTCACATGGGGATGGTGTATTGGGCTAAGGAGCCATGTTTTGCAGCTTGTGACCTGGTCCGATTCACAATAATCCAGCTGCTTCAAGGTCAGCTTTTTATTGTTTAGAATCATTCAGACCATTGCTGAGAGTTTCTCAAATCTGGGTTAAAACCTTTAAAAGACATTCAGCCGAACAATACTTCTTTGCAAGGCACCTAATTGTAGCCTCTGGTTCCTTTGTGCACAACCTGCATCTTAACTATGCACAACACAGAACCCAGGTGAGCTCAAAGTCTGACCACAGGCCTCTTCCCACTCCCCTGAGGCCTAACCACTTCAGACATATCCTAAACACCCACCTGCTGCATTCCCAGGCCTTCAAGACTGGAAGTTGAATTTACCGGCTATTTGGAGATAGCAAGAGGAGACAATAGCCTAGTGGTATTATCGCTGGATTGTTAATATAGAGACCCAGACAGCATTCTGGGGACCTTTGAATCCTGCCATGGCAGATGGTGGAATTTGAATTCAATAAAAATATCTGGAATTAAGAATCTAATGATGACCACGAACCCATTGTTGATTGTTGGAAAAACCCATCTGATTCACTAATGTCCTTTAGGGAAGGAAACTGCCATCCTCACCTGGACTGGCCTACATGTGACTCCAGGATCGTTGACTCTTAACTGCCCTCTGGGCAATAAATGCTGCCCAGCCAGCGACACCCTCATCCCATGAATGAATAAAGGGAAAAAAAAGAATTGCAGATGCTGGAGTCAGAGTAACACAACATATAGAGAGGCAGGGACACATTGTGAGGTGAAAAAGGAATGTTAAAGGAAGCCAAGTTAAAGGAAAGATCTCTTACAAGCACAAGACTCTTGGTCAAACTACATAGGCACCAGTCAGTTTGTAGCCTGAAGAAGGGACCTGACCCGAAACGTCAACTTTCCTGCTCCTCTGGTGCTGCCTGGCCTGCTATGTTCCTCCAGCTCCACACTGTGTTGTCACCAGCTATTTACCTGAAGTGTCACAGGGTGGGGGAGGAAATGAAGTTGCAATTTTGTTGTCTCTGAAAGCAGTGTTAAATGATTGAGCAAAAGCTGAGGGAATTAAACTTGTAGCGACAATGGCATTGCTGCAGCCTAGCCCTTTCTAAAAGGTCGAGTAGCTATTGTATTCAGTGAGAGAACAAACCAACTTTTATACTTCAATGATAAAAGGGTCCAGAAACCAGAGGGAAATTCTCTGGTGATTTGGGATTTGAACAAATCGAGTTGAGGCATTGATCAGCTCAGGGGCCTGCATCCTTCACACAATCGAACCATAATCACTTTCTAAAAAATTAAATTTAATATTGTATTGGGGAGGAGTTGGCCTATTGGTATTATTGCTGGGCTATTAATCCAGAGACCCAGGGAATGTTCTGGGGACCCAGGTTCTAAACTCGTCACAGCAGATGGTGAAATTTGAATTCAATAAAAATCCGGAATTGAGAGTCTACTGTCTAATGTCATGATTCATCTAATGATGACCATGAAATCATTGTGGGGAAAAACCCGTCTGGTTCACTAATGTCCTTTAGGGAAGGAAACTGCCATCCTTACCTGGGCTGGCCGACGTGTGACTCACAGACTCACAGCTATGTGGTTGAGTCTTAACTGTCCTCTGGGTAATTAGGGATGGGATAAATGCTGGCCTAGCCAGTGACGCCCTCTCATCCTGTGAGTGAATTTAAAAGAAAAAAACCACTGAGAGAGATGTCATAACTCATTCTCCAGCTGCCTTGTCTAAATGAACCTTAGGTTTGGGCCTTAACTGATCCATTTTCAAACTCACTGATGGAACTTTCACTCAGAATGTCTTATGCACTTGTGAATCGTGCCCCTTGTAGCTATTAGGTGGGCTACAAACTGACTAGTGTCTGTGTGGTTTGACCAGGAGTCTTGTAAGAGATCTTTCCTTTAACTTGGCTTCCTTTAACATTCTCCCTTCTCTTCCACCTCACAATGTGCCCCTGCCTTGCTTTATGTTGTGTCTCCCTGATTTAATCGCTCCACCATTGGCAGCCATGCTGTCAGCCTCCTGGCCTGAAAGTTTTGGAATTCCTCTTCGGCCTACTCCTTTTAAAGTTGCTGCTGAAACCTTAAAACCTTATGCCTCTGGCAAATCAATGGACTAGGGGACAACGGGTTGTGGGTCTTGTCACTTTTTAACCTTCTTGCACACTCAGAGATTGAAATCCCTGCTGCAGATTGCAATGTGTGCTGCTTTCATTTCAAGCCCACAGCTTCATTCCCAGTGGCTCAGTGGTTAGCACTGCTGTCTCACAGCCCTAGGGACCTGGGTTTGATTCCAGCCTCGGGTGACTGTCTGTGTGGAGTTTGCACGTTCTCTCCGTGTCTGTGTGAGTTTTCACTGGGTGCTCCGGTTTCCTCCCACAGTCCAAAGGTGTGCAGTTTAGGGTGAATTGGCCATGCTAAATTTCCTGTAGTGTATAGGGTAAGAAATGCAGGGATAGGATAGGATAGGGGGTGGATTTGGGTGGGATGCTGTATGGAGGGTTGCTGTGGAATTGATGGGCTGAATGGCCTGCCCCCACACTGTGGGGATTCTGTGATTCTCCTGGTAGAGAATTGCAGGCGAATGGCAAAATCTTAGCAATTAGCCTGCAACATTGACATTGAGTACCCATCGTGTGAGGGATAAATAGGTGCTTCCCTTCCCCTCTCACAGGATATTGTGCCTATCCTTTATTATGCTGTAGACCAAACAGTTGTTGAGTTAATGTCCTGCAATCCTGCCAACTTCTTTGCCCCTTACCATTCCTCTGACTCTGGTCTTTTCTGGAGTCCCGGCCCTCCCCTCAAACTTTGTTTGCCTCGCCAGTTGAGGTCAGGTCTTCAGGTGCCAAACTGTGAGATGCACTTCACAAACTCAGTGCACGAGGAGTTGGCCTAATGGTATTATTGTTGGGCAATTAATCCAGAGAATGTTCTGGGGTCCCAGGTTCAAAACCAACCATGGTGGAATTTGAATTCAATAAAAATCTGGAATTAAGAGAAGGGTATCTGATGATGACCGTGCAACCATTGCTGGAAAAGCCCATCTGGTTCACTAATGGCCTTTAGGGAAGGAAACTGCCATCCTTTCTTGGTCTGGCCTACATGTGACTCCAAACCCTCTCCCTCCTCCTTTAACCAACTCCCTCAGAACCCAGTAGTTTGAGTGAGGTTTTCATAGCCCTGCTATCTCTTTGTCTGAATGTTGGTGGTGCTGGCTAATACTCCTCCCGTAGGGTTGAGGGTGCAGGGCTGTGGTTTCACAGGACTGATGGGTGTTACTTTCAAAAACTGCACAAATACAGAAATGTTTTGAAGCCCACTTTTAAAAAGACTCCAGAGCAATAGGAAAGTGTCTAAAAGTGTAACTTCATCAAATCTTGGAATTGTTATGGTGCGGGAGGAGGCCATTTGGCCCATTGTGCTGATGTCCTTTAGGGAGGAAAATTGGCCATCCTAACCTGGTCTGACCTACATGCAACTCCAGGGCCACAGCAAGGTTCCATTCCCTTGTGCCAATCTCCTGCCTTTTCCCCATACCCCTGCTCACCATTTCTCTCCAACTAACCAATCCAATGCCCCTTTTGAAAGCCTCATTTGAACCTGTCTCCACCATGTTTTCAGGAAGTGCATGCTAGACCCTAACTACTTGTGTGGAAAAAGAAAAATTCTCACATTGTCCTTGCCTCTTTTGCATTTCATTTTATATCTATGACCCCTTATTCGTGTTTGTTTTAAGAGTACAAAGAGCTTCTCTCTCTTGAGTTACCAGCCCATTCATGATTTTGAAAACTACCAGCCTTCTTCTTGCATAGAATCCCTACAGTGTGGAAGCAGGCCATTAGGCCCATCGAGTCCACACCAACTGGCTGAAGAGCTTCCCACCCAGGCCCAACCCCCACCCTATCCCTGCCTTTCCCATGGCCAACTCACCTAGTATGCACATCCCTGGACACTGTGGGCAATTTAGCATGGCCAGTCTACCTAACCTGCACATCTTTGGACTGTGGGAGGAAAGCAGAGCACCTGGAGGAAACCCACGCAGATATGGGAAGAACATGCAAACTCCACACAGACAGTCACCCGAGGGTGGAATCGAACCCAGGTCCCCAGTGCTGTGAGGCAGCAGGGCTAACCACTGAGCCACCATGACACCCCAAGGAGAACAGTCCCACTTCTTCAATCTATCCTAATCACCGAAGTTGCTCATTCTTAAAACGTTGCTTGTAAAGCTTACCCACCATGACGGTACCTGGTCCTTTAAGTCACCTGTTTTTTATTCTTCCATGGGATGTGGGTATCACTTGTTGTCTATTCCAAATAGCCCTTGGACCCAGTGTCTTGAAAAGGATAGTAGATTTTCTTCCCTAAACGACATTGGTGAACCAGATGGGTTTTTACAACAATCCATGATAGTTTTATGGTCAACGTTACTGAGACTAACTTTGGCCGTCCAGATTTTACTTATTAAATTGAAATTCCACCAGCTGCTGTGGTGGGATTTGAACCCATGCCTTTTGAACATTAGCTTGGCATTCTGGGTTGCTGGTCTGGGGATCTTGCCATAATGACACTGGGAACCCACAGTAGTGTCACAGCGGCCTGCTTGCACCTTCATACTTTGCTTGTTTGTGCCTAAACAGAGTGCAGTCATCGCCAGGGAAGAACTCTGAAGTAACACTGCAACTTGACAGGAAAGGTCTAGATTTACTGTGGCCATGTTTCTGGGACAATTCAGCGAATTGGTCTTCTGATCTCACAGAAACTGTTTGAAAATTTGAACTCCATTCTTTTGATAAACGCTGGAATGTGAAAGTTTCTGCCTGTAAGAGTGACCATGAAGATGTAATCAAAACCCATTGGGTACACCAATATCCTACAGGGAAGAAAGACCTTGCCTGGTCTGGGACTCTAGGTAGCTCCCATCCGACATTGTATGGTCTTAAATGCCTGTTGAAACAACCCCTTCTTTTGTCCTGCTGCATTGCATGATCAACACTTACGGTCCTCCATCACCAACATCCTGGGGTTACTGAATTTGAAAACTGACCTGGACCAGCCAATTGACCAAAAGAGCAGGTCAGAGGCTGGGAATTTTATGCTGACTGACTCCTCAAAGCCTGTCCACCATCTACAAGGCACAAGTCAGGAGTGTGATGGAATACTCCCCACTTGCCTGGATGAGGGCAGCTCCAACAACACTCAAGAAGCTCTACACATATCCACCACCATCATCGTTTGCTCCCTCCACCCTCGCATAGTAGCAGCACTGTGTACCATTTACAAGATGCGCTGTAGAAATTTATGAAGGCTCATTTGTTAGCAACTTCCAAATCCGCAACCACTACCTTCCAGATGGATAAGGACAGCAGATACTTGGGAACAGCATCACCTGCAAAGTTCTGAGGAAGGGTCACCGGACCCGAAACGTTAACTCTGATCGTTTCTTCACAGATGCTGCCAGACCTGCTGAACTTTTCCAGCAACTTCCATTTTTGTACCATCACCTGCAAGTTCCCCTCCAAACCATGTGCCATCCTGTCTTGGAAATATATCGCCCTTCCTTTAGCGCTGGGTCAGAATCCTGGAACTCCCTCCCTAACAATGTCCTTGGTGTCCCTATACTACACGGATTGCAGTGGTTCCTGAAGGCAGCTCACCACCAACCTCTCCAGGGCAATTAGGGACGGGCAGTGAATGGTGACCAAGCTAGCAACCCCCTCATCCTATAAGCCCATGCTTTGAAAAGTGGCAGAAGTTCATCCAAAAGCTGGTCAGCTGTGACCACCTCAGGTCATCGGCGCTTAAACCCTTGCTGACTTAGGGAGGGGGTGGGTGATGTGAACTTGGCAGTGCCCCTCTGTTCTGTGCTGCCCTGCTGTGTCTGAGGGTCACAGTTGTCACTGGGCAGCATGTTGCGCCACAGGACGAACCCACGGTTCCTTCAGGGTGCGCGTTCTCGTCCGGGCATTGGGTGGAGGTGTCCTGCCGGCAACAGAAGTGAGGTGTGGGATACTGGGTGAGGATCCATCTTGGTGCAGTTTTTATGTCTGAGAGAGTTGACAATGACTGACTGCATTGTTGTAGTAATGTGCCTTGTCTGATGTCATGGCAGGTTGGTAGCCCGACTTCAGGGACTGCTCCTCACAGTTTCTCCCAGACCTCGGTCAGTCCTTCGGATCAGGACATCTGCAGGTAATACCCACTAACGTGCTCCTTCATCGAGTGAACACCATTAATATTCTGGGGTCTCCTTCCTCTCTCCCTTTGAGCATCCACCTCATTGCATGACTGTTTGGAGAAGCACTGATGCTATATAGGCTGCATTCACTGCAGCTTTAGTGCCCGAGATAGTCCGGTGAGGCACAAACTAAACTCCCAGCGTGACATTATTCAATGTGCTCGGATTTGCCTCCTTGGAAGTGGAGGAAGTGGGTAAAATAAAAATTCCTTTCTCTTTAATCCAGTGGTCTTTGTTGGAGATGACCCATGTATGGATTTCTCATCAGTGTTGACAGCAATGCTCCAGAGTTAGGTAACAACATGATCCCAGCTCAATGATTAAAAGGACAGTTTTGCGATTAAAACCACCCATGCTCCTATGCTCTAAACTATATCATTACCAATGTCTCAATACCTTCTTAAAAGGGGAGTAAATTGGTGCTAATAATTTTCTTTCTGGGTGTGGGTTAATCCCTTTTAAAATGGGATAGCGTGTTTTATTTAAAATGTGATCGTGTGTTTATTTTGGCACAATAGAATTCTTACAGTGTGGAAAGAGGCCCTATAGCCCATTGTGTCCAGTGTGTAACGGTATATTCCTGCCCCCATTCTTGTGTTGTCAAAGATTGAAGAAAGGCTCCTGTGACCGACTTTGGCACAGCCGTCCCGAGTGTAAATACAATCTATCCTGAGTTTTTGTTTTTCTTCTTCGTTTCTTCTTCCCCCACCTTTTTCCTGTTTGTTCATGCTCCTTGCTTTCCCTGCATGCAGCTCAGATGCTGTTCCCCGTGAGCGTGCGGCACACAGTCCCGTGCAGACTGAGGTTGTCCTCCTGAGTAGGCCCGATGGCAGCCCTTCCCTGACACATGGGGCTGTCACCACCACTACCACCGTCATTGGGCAAGGCCTGGCCCCGAGACCCAGGAAGCGAAGCTCTGTGGGAGAGGAGTTAACCAATTTCCTTTGTCCCGGGAAGTACTTGAACCACTCCAAGTCCCTCAATGACATGCACACGAAGGCCCACGATCGGTCAGACAGCGGCCTGAGCTTTGGTGACAAGACGTGCTCTGATGGAAAGTTAACGCCATTGCTAGGGATGGACTCGAAGACCAAGAAACCGCAGTGTGGCAAAAAGCAAGAGCATTCTTCCAAGGCGCGGAGATACAGCCTGAGTTCTCAGATGCTGCCATTCGGCTCGGCATTATCCAACAGCCATGTGACTAGGGAGGGCCTGTGCGTTGTGGAGGTTGCAATCAGTGAAGGTGAACCCAGCAGTCGGATGTCGTACCTGTACCGTATCTTCTTCCCGTCCTCGCGCACGTCCAGCGCGTACACTCTGAAGACTCTGCTGGAGCCCGGGCAGTGCGGCCCACGATTTCCCATCACTAAGTCATCTGCCGACTCCTTCTGCTCCGAGGACGTTGGAGACGATGATGTTTTCGAAGATGATGCCACTGCTCCTTGCTTGGAAGTGAGCAACCGAGACCAGAGAGCTCCACTTTGCTCGTTTGAGAGAGACAGTGACATTGAACATCCTTCCCTGACATCTCTAAAATGGTGCCCCACGTCCCCTCTCTCACCATCCTGGGAAGTGTGCAGGTTGGTTCTTCAAATAATAGCCCCTCCCATTGCCCCATCCCACCCTCCCTTAAAGCCTCCTTAAACGTTAAACCTTCTGCATCTCTCCCTGTGCTACGGTGTTCCCTTCAGTGATTGGCTAGTTTGTGACATCGTGCTTGGTAGGAACTTAATTTTGCAAGTGTTGATGGATTCCTGCTGTTTGTTCATGAGAGCCGCTGACTGTTCTAGATCTGCCAAAGTTTCATTTTTTACTAGGAGGAGCACGATTATCGAATAACTCCGAAACACAAGCCTGAAATACAGCCAAAACTGAGGGACCTGGGTCAGCATGGTGGCTCAGTGGTTAGCACTGCTGCCTCACAGCGCCAGGGACCTGGGTTTGATTCCAGCCTCGGGCGACTGTCTGTGTGGAGTTTGCACATTCTCCCTGTGTCTGTGTGGGCTTCCTCCTATAGTCCAAAGGTTAGAGTGGATTGGCCATGCTAAATTGTCTCATAGCATCATGGGATGTGCAGGCTAGGTGGGTTAGCCATGGGAAACGCAGGGTTACAGAGACAGGATGGGGGGCTTGGGTCTGGCTGGGATGCTCTTCGGAGGGTTGGTGTGGACTTGATGGGCTGAATAGCCTGCTTCAACACTGCAAAGACTGTAAAACACCTCAATATTTAAGTGAACACCCTACAGACAAATAGTGACCAGTTGCTTGTTTGTTGATGTCCCTTGGTTGTGTTCATATCTCACTTGCTCCAGTGATGTGTCATAACATCTGTGAACAGGTTGTTTAGAGAATTGATATCCCTTGCTTTGGTTCCTGTGACCCAGCAGTAGTATCCTTGCCTGTGGCCTAAGGGGCCTGGATTCAAGTCCCATTTGCTCCAGAGATGTGTCATAGTGTCTGAACAGTTAGAGAATGGGTATCCCTTAGTTTGGCTGTGTGGTAGTGTGGTAGTGATTTGTGTGGTAGAGATTTGATTGGTGGCTCTGTATATAAAGTTAATCAATCAGTAGCATATGAGTATTCATTCACTGAATTAAGATATTTCTGTTTTTGAAAACAGCTGCCCCTTGATGCAGTTATGGTGAGACTACATAGAATCAGAGAATTGTAGAACTGTACATGGAAACAGACCCTTCAGTCCAACTCGTCCATGCTGACCAGATATCCTAAACTGATCTAGTCCCATTTACCTGCATTTGGCCTATATCCCTCTAAACCCTTCCTATTCATATACCCATCCAGATGCCTTTTAAATGTTGTCATTGTACCAGCCTCCACTGCTTCCTCTGGCAGCTCATTCCATACAGGCACCACCCTCTATATGAAAATGTTACCCATCAGGTCCCTTTTAAATCTTTCCCCTCTCACTTTAAACCTGTGCCTATACCGACAGGAAAACTAAGTCGAGACACAATCAGATCACAAGGTGTGGAGCTGGATGAACACAGCAGGCCAAGCAGCATCAGAGGAGCAGGAAAGCTGACGTTTCGGGCCGAGACCCTTCTTCAGAAATGGGGGAGGGGAAGGGGATTCTGAAATAAATAGGGAGAGAGGGGAAGGCAGATAGAAGATGGATAGAGGAGAGGATAGGTGGAGAGGAGACAGACAGGTCAAAGAGGCAGGGATGGAGCCAGTAAAGGTGAGTGTAGGTGGGGAGTTAGGGAGGGGATAGGTCAGTCCAGGGAGGATGGACAGATCAAGGGGTTGGGGTGAGGTTAGTAGGTAGGAGATGGGAGTGGGGCTTGAGGTGGGAGGAGGGGATAGGTGGGAGGAAGGACAGGTTAGGGAGGCGGGGACGAGCTGGGCTGGTTTTGGGATGTGGTAGGGGGAGGGGAGATTTTGAAGCTTGTGAAGTCCACATTGATACCATTGGGCTGCAGGGTTCCCAAGCGGAATATGAGTTGCTGTTCCTGCAACCTTTGGGTGGCATCGTTGTGGCACTGCAGGAGGCCCAGGATGGAGGAGTGGGAGGGGTAGTTGAAATGGCTCGCGACTGGGAGGTGCAGTTGTTTAGTGCGAACCGAGCGAAGGTGTTCCACAAAGCGGTCCCCAAGCCTCCGCTTGGTTTCCCCGATGTAGAGGAGGCCACAACGGGAACAGCGGATGCAGTATACCACATTAGCAAATCTGCAGGTGAACATCTGCTTGATGTGGAAAGTCTTCTTGGGGCCTGGGATGGGGGTGAGGGGGGAGGTGTAGGGGCAGGTGTAGCCCTTCCTGCGGTTGCAGGCAAAAGTGCCGGGTGTGGTGGGGCTGGAGGGGAGTGTGGAGCCGACAAGGGAGTCCCGGAGAGAGTGGTCCCTCCGGAAAGCAGATAAGGGTGGGGAGGGAAAAATGTCTTTGGTGGTGGGGTCGGATTGCAGATGGTGGAAGTGTCGGAGGATGATGCGTTGGATCCGGAGGTTGGTGGGGTGGTACGTGAGGACGAGGGGGATTCTGTTTTGGTTGTTATTGCGGGAAGAGGGTGTGAGGGATGAGTTGCGGGAAATGCGGGAGACATGGTCGAGGGCGTTCTCGACCACTGTAGGGGGGGAAGTTACGGTCCTTGAAAAACGAGGACATCTGAGATGTTTGGGAGTGGAATGCCTATTCCTGGGAGCAGATGCGGCGGAGGCAAAGGAATTGGGAATAGGGAATGGCATTTTTGCAGGAAGGTGGGTGGGAGAAGGTGTGTTCTAGGTAGCTGTGGGAGTCGGTGGGCTTGAAATGGATATCAGTTTCCAGGTGGTTGCCAGATATGGAAACAGAGAGGTCCAGGAAGGAGAGAGAGGTATCAGAGATGGTCCAGGTGAACTTAAGGTTGGGGTGGAAGGTGTTGGTGAAGTGGATGAACTGTTCGAGCTCCTTGTGGGAGCATGAGGCGGCGCCAATACAGTCATCAACGTAACGGAGGAAGAGGTGGGGTTTAGGGCCAGTGTAGCTACGGAAGAGAGATTGTTCCACGTAACCTACAAAGAGGCAGGCATAGCTTGTCTGTAGGAAGTGGGAGGAATTGAAGGAGAAGTTGTTGAGGGTGAGGACAATTTCGGCTAAGCGGATGAGGGTGTCAGTGGAGGGGGACTGGTCGGGCCTGCGGGACAGGAAGAAGCGGAGGGCCTTTAGGCCATCTGCATGGGGAATGCAGGTGTATAGGGACTGGACGTCCATGGTAAAGATGAGGTGTTGGGGACCAGGGAATTGGAAGTTTTGGAGGAGGTGGAGGGCGTGGGCGGTGTCACAGACGTAGGTGGGGAGTTCCTGGACCAAGGGGGAGAAAATGGAGTCCAGATAGTTGGAGATAAGTTCGGTGGGGCAGGAGCAGGCAGAAACAATGGGTCGACCAGGGCAGTCAGGTTTGTGGATTTTGGGAAGGAGATAGAAGCGGGCGGTACGGAGTTGGGGAACGATGAGGTTGGAGGCTGTGGGTGGGAGGTCACCTGAGGTGATGAGGTTGTGGATGGTTTGGGAGATGGTTTGGTGGTCGGGGTTGGGTTCATGATCAAGGGGGCGGTAATTGTGATCCCAGCAAATGGTGTCGCAGACACAAATGACCTACTCCTGTTGCTATGTTTCTTGTGCATAAGCCATTTCATTGTAAGATGAGGATTTTCTGACCTTTGACTGTTGATGTTTTTTTTGACTTGAGATATCTTTCTCTGTCTCTCTCTCTCTTTCTCCTCCTCTCTCTCTGCCTTTCTCCCTCTCTCTCTGCCTCTCTCTCTCCTTCTCTCAGTCCCTCTTTCTCCTTCTCTCTGCCTCTCTTTCTCTCTCTCTGTCTCTCTCTCTCGCTCTGTTTCTCTCCCTCTGCCTCTCTCTCTCTGTTTTTCTCTCTCTCTCTCTCCCTCTGTCTCCCTCTCTCTGTTTCTCTCTCTCTCTCTCTGTTTCTCTCTTTCTTTGATGTACTGGCTCTTTGGCATTTTATCAGTGCATTGATTTCTGCGTCACAGAGTGAGTCTGGAGGCAGAGACTAAGTATTGACGTTGTACCATCGTCATTGACAGTCAGCTGAAACTCAGCCACTTATGGAATCATCGAATTCCTACAGGGCCGAAGAGGCCATTTGGCTCATCGAGTCCACACTGACCCTCTGAAGAGAATCCCACCCCAACCTAACCCCACACCCACAACCTATCTCCGTAACTCCACACTTACCAAGGCTAGCCCACCTAGTCTGCACATCCATAGACCATATAGTCTGGAAGCAGGCCTTTTGGCCCATCGAGTCCACACTGACCCTCTGAAGAGTATCCCACCCAGACTCACACCCCTACCCTATCCCTACAACTCCACATTTCCCACGGATAATCCACCCAGCCTGCACATCCCTGGTCACCAGGGGGAAATTAAGCATGGCCAATCGGCTTATCCTGCGCATCTTTGGACTCATCTGTCAAGGTTTTTACTTCCATTGCCTTAGCCGTGTCTAATAGGCAGCCAGTCCACAGTGAGGTGCTTCACCCTGGGGTACAATGTTGAGGTTGGGCACCAGGGAACTAATTTACCAAGGGACAACATTCCCCACACTGCCAGGGCCTTTGAGGCCTGATCTTTTAGCTTTTGTTTAGTAGAAGCAGCAGTGTGGCAAGGTGCTAGTAACTCCCTAAAGAGAATAACTCTCAGAGGCTAGATGAGGCAGGTAACTGTTTACTGAATTTTCAACATGGCTGCCTTTGGAGCTTATGGAGGAAAGGAGACCTCACAAGATCTTATTCACTTCTCATGGCTAGATGTCTGTACTCAATACCTAGCCTTGACACACTCTTTAGTTGTAACCCTGCATTACCGTAGATGACTATACTCGATACCCAATGCACTCTGTAGGTTTTCGTTGACAAGTTGATTCAGATGTTGAGCAGGGGCAGTGGGTCTGGGAGAATCACCAATAAATCCAATAGTGAGTTCAGGAGATACGTCTTCATGCAGAGACGTACTGATAATGTGGAACTCAGTATCGCCAGGAGCAGGTGAAGACAACAACTTTGCTGTTTAAGGGGATGTTGGATGAAACTGTGAAGTAAAAGGGATTTCAGAAAGTTCTCGCAGGTGGGAGGAAACATTTGTAGAATGTAAGTGCCAGAATGGATCGGTTCAGCCAGATGACATGTTTCTGTATTCTCAGTTTTAATGAGTAGGGCTGCCCAGTGCTGAGTCAGACAGAGACAACCCTGGAGTGTGTAGAGTAGGAGGATTGGTAGGGGGAGGTAAGGAGCACAGTTTAACTACTAATATTTGCTTTTCTGGATGGAAACATGACTGAGGGCAACAACCAAACAATCACCTCTTGTCTACCTCCCTCCAAGCCTTTCTCAGGCTCACCATTGGTGGAGGTCCCATCAGAAATGGGAAGAAAGATGGCTGGGACCATGTGACATCCAGGCTGTAGTTTGATCGCACTGTTGCATTCGTGATGGGCTGAATGGCTTTTTTTCTGTGCTGTAGATCTGTGGCTTGGTGATGCCAAGCTTTCACTTCTCCCAGATAAATCACTTGGTGCATTTTCCATGGTAACACATCAAACAATCGGACCCCATTTGTCAATCAATAAGCAGTCTCCTCTCATGTACTATAAACGTTTGTGTTCTGCTTAAATTAGAATTATCATTAGGAAATTGTAGAGTCACGAGCAGCCGTTTGAATGTTGTTATTGCAGGCACATTCTGATCTAAGTTTGTTTTTGATTTCTCTTTGCCTCTGGGGTCCGGTGAAAGCTGGTGACAAGCTCAAGTTTTTTTTTAAATGTAATGAAGTGTTTGTTGCTTCTCCGAAGTGGAGGTGCTGATGTTGGCCTGGGGTGGATAAAGTCAGAAGTCGCATGACACCAGGTGATAGTCCAACAGGTTTATTTGAAAACACAAGCTTTGGGAGCAGCGCTGGCCTGTAACCAGCGGTGGCCAATAACCTGGTGTTGTGTGATTTCTGACTTTGTTATTTCTTTAACATTGGATGTTCCTCACTGGGACGGGGTGTGGTGTGCCAGGTCAGAGTCTTACCCTGTGTGGGGATGGGAAATTGTCCAAATCAAAGCTCAATTTTCAAATACTCTCTGTGAAGCAGAGGCGCAGACATAACTGAGGATCTTGAAAGAAGTCTTTAATGGAACTAAGTGACCAAAGATGGTTAAGATCTCGTGTGCCTAAAGTGATCCAAGAGTCAGTGATGACAATGGTTGTTAGAAAATCTCATCTGGTTCACTAATGGCCTTTAGTGAGAGAAATCTGACATCCTTACCTGGTCTGGCCTACATGTGACTCCAGACCCACAGCAATCTGGTTGACTCTTAATTGAATTGGCTGAGCAAGTCTCTCTGTTCTAGAGTATGTAGGGATGGGCTACAAATACGGGCCTCGCATCCCATTGGAAGAATAATTTTTCAAAAAGGAAGGTGGAGGAAATGAGAGGGAGGGGAAAGTTTTCGAAGGGAGCGGCATTTCATGGGATGCTGCCCTTGGTTTTCCACGTTTTTGCAAATGACCTTCATCCTGGAGGCCTGATTTAGAGTTTATAATCTAGACTGGAAAGGGCCATCAGGCCTCAGTATAAAGCCGTCCTGGTATTTTCCAAGGACTTTGACACAGACTGGAGGAAGCAGTCAGTGACTGACTATGGCATCAGGTGGGAATTCTTTTAACCCGTATTTCTTTATTGTCTTGAACGAAGTACAGAAGGCCTAACAAACACGGGGAAACTGGAGGAAGCCATGACATTGTAAGCCTGTGGTTGTCAAATACTGACTGTGAACTTTGAACTCCTTGGCCTGCACTTTGGGTGAGCCCATTTGGCTTGCTCCGAGGGAAGCTTTCCTTGACCCCATTTCCATAAAACTCCTGCCTCCTTCTCTTTGAATCTCAAACCCTGTCCCCCTGGCTGCACCCATTCCGTGTTCCTCATTTAGTTGAGTTCACTACAAAAGCGATAGCTCAGCTCTTATGCGGGTGCCTTTATGAATCTTGTTCGAAAACTACTTTGTGGGACATTGGTGAATCAGGACAATTCACAAGAATACCAATTCAAGGGAAAAGTCGATATTTAGCCTGTACAGGAGAATGATTTCTGAAGAAGGGTCTAGGCCCGAAACGTCAGCTTTCCTGCTCCTCTGATGCTGCTTGGCCTGCTGTGTTCATCCAGCTCTACACCTTGTTATCTCAGGAGAATGTTAATTGATTGGCAAGTGGGCCCCAATTGGCAGAGGCATTGCAATGGACAACCCACCAGGTAATGATTAGTCAATTAATTGATGGAATGTCCATGGCAACATGTCAACCAATCAGACTCCAACTGCCAACCTATAAGCACTCTCCTCTCATGCAGTATGAATATTTGAATTCTCACATTCTTGTGAAGTGTCCTGATGAAAGCTTTGACAAAATGTCTTTTTCTCAGCAGTGCTCAAGTTCTGTCCCCTTAAAATGTTTATCTTTTTATTAATACTTGTGGCTGCTATAGTTAATAGTTTGTGCTAATGTCTTGGCAGCGGTAGATGAAGCTCTGTGTAGGGGAAGGCAATGCATATTGTCGCTGATAGCTGTGATAGGTTGCCGCTTTGGTTAAATAGAGGTTCTGATTTTGGCTGTGTGTGAGTGAAATTGCTCTGGGTTGTGATTAATTGGCTCTGCCTTTTATTCAGGATCTGTCACTGCGAAGGAGATGATGAAGGACCCCTCATCATGCCATGTCACTGCACTGGGAGCCTCCGCTATGTACACCAGGCCTGTCTACAGCAATGGATCAAGAGCTCCGATACTCGCTGCTGTGAGCTCTGCAAATATGAGTTCATCATGGAAACCAAATTAAAACCGCTGAGGAAAGTATGTACGAAGCAATAGGAATGAAGGATTTTGCTGGGATTTGTGGGGATGTGGGTTGAGGGAATGGCAGAGTGGGATCACCTACATTTGACGCCAATGCCTACAGAAATGGAGAAAGTCATTGAGGAGAAATTGGCCTTTCTCCAGGAAGGAAGCTACCATTCTCTTCCCACCACAGTTAAAGTCATGTATTCCTGCATGGAGGAACACGGCAGGCCAGGCAGCACCAGAGGAGCAGGAGAGTTGACGTTTCGGGTCGGGACCCTTCTTCGGAAATGGGGGAGTGGGAAGGGAGCTCAGAAATAAATAGAGAGAGGAGGGTTGGGGCTGGGGAAGGTAGATGGGATGGTGACAGGTGAGTGCAGGTAGGGAGTGGTGGGGAATGGTCAGTGAGGTGGAAGGAGCAGACAGGTGGGAGAGAAGATGGACAGGTTGTGTCAGGTCGAGGAGGCGGGGTTGAGAGGGAGGGTTGGTCATGGGATGAGGCCGAGGGTGGGGCGATTTTAAAACTGGTGAATTCCAGTGAATACAGATGCTGCCACACCTGCTGAGCTTTCCAGCAATTTCTGTCTTTTTTTCTCTGAAACAGGCAGACATTACAGGGAGCAAATCAGGAGCAATACTGGAAGGAATTCAATGGTGTGGCATCATCTTGCCACCTTTTTGTTTTACTTTAACGCCCTCTGGAACAGGCATTAGAAGCCCTCACCCACTTTTCCCGGCACCAAGACAAACCAGCCAGTGACCCAAGGGAACTATGTCAACTTCTGCTGTTGCTGGCCCTGGCAATACCTCGTGGGGATTGTTTAGGAGGAGAGGGCCATGTGCTTGCACCCAGTGCCCAGTGCCCACACCGATATTTATTCCTTGAACCAGCCCCTCAAAAGCACTACGTGGCCCGAAAATGGCAGGATTTTGCTGTGGGCGCATTATCCTGAACCCTCCTGTATTGTAGTTCAGAAGCGTATTTCACTGGGGCATGCAGTCCTTCAGGAAGTCTTGAGGCTGTGGAAGGTGCTGCAGAGATGCAAATTCTCTCATTTTTATTCTTAAATTATTTTTTTCCTTGTTGTTCTGCTGTGCAGTTCTTTTTGTGTGTGTGTGTTTCTATGTCTGTGTGTGCACGTGTGTGTCTGAGTGTGCCTGTGCGTGTGTGTGCCTGTGCGTGTGTGTGCCTGTGTGTGTGTGTGTATATGTGTGTGCATGTGCGCACCTGTGTGTGTGCCTGTGTGTGTGTCTGTGTGCCTGTGTGTGTGTGTGTGTGTGTCTGTATGTGAAGTGCCTGTGTGTGTGTGTGCCTGTCTGTAAGTATCTATGTATATGTGTGTGTGTGTGTGCGCCTGTGTGTGTGTGTGCCTGTACATGCCTGTGTGTGAAGTGCCTGTGTGTGTGTGTGCGCCTGTGTGTGTGCCTGTCTGTAAGTATCTATGTGTGTGTGTGTGTGTGTATCTGTGTGTATGTGTATGTCAGTGTCTACGTGTGTGTCTGTAAGTGTCTGTGTATCTCTGCGTGTGTGTATATCAGTGTTTATGTCTGTGTCTGTGAGAGTATGTGAGTACGTGTGTGTAGGAGGAAAGCCTGTTCTCAGAACAGGGCAAATTGTCCTAGTTACAGACGCAGGGAAACAACACACTGTGTGCCCAATGGTGCCTCCCACTTCGTGCCATTCAGATCCAGCATTGAGTTGGTCAAAGATTGAATCAGCATTTGCTTGTCTGCCTATCACAAGGAGAGAACCCATATATATAGCATTTTTGACCTGTTCAAAACTATTCCATAAGTTTTCTAATGTACATGTGAAGTTCACTCAGTGGACAAGCATATCAACCAATCTGTGCAGAACAAGATCCTGCACACAGATAGAGCTGGCGATGTTCATTGAATGATACATACCTGTGAAGACATCTGGGATTCAAATTAGCTCTGAGCTGACCAGGGGTATCTTAATATAGCCTTTGGTATAGCACTGGCGTATCGGTCAAGATTATGTTCATTGCCTTGGTCTGGCACAGACCATCTTCAGGCTCAGCTGAGAAACCTGCCAGCTGAGCCAAGCTGCCCATCAATGATTGAGTGTTTGATGTTCCTCTGAATCTAGAAACAAAGGTTGGATGGAGTTGGCGCTTTGTTATTATGTATAAGGCAGGAGAATGGCGTTGAGAAACGTATCAGCCTTGATCGAATGGTGGAGCAGACTCAATGGGCCGAATGTCTTATGGTCTGATGGCCTCTTCTCAGTCTAACAATTATCATCTTCCTTACACAGTGGGAGAGGTTGCAGATGACTTCCAGTGAGAGGAGAAAGATACTGTGTTCTGTCACATTCCATATCATCGCAATTACCTGTGTGGTGTGGTCACTATATGTCCTCATTGATAGGACAGCAGAGGAGATTAAACAAGGCCAGACAAGCGGTAGGTGCATTCCCCTCCTCCTCTCCAAATAACTGACAGTTTCTTTACGCCCTCCAGAATGTCTCTGCTCCCATCTGTGAATATAAAGGTAAATCTCTCAGAACAGCCTGTTTAATCTCTGGGATAACAAGGTGTAGAGCTGGATGAACACAGCAGGCCAAGCAGCATCATAGGAGCAGGAATCTCTGGGCCTGTTCCCAGTGGCTGAATGTGGGATCCAGGTTAGAAACGCACTTGTTGCCCCAGCGATGAAGTCTGTGGATGTTTCTAATTTCTGCACTTCCTCGTAATCTGTACCTCAACCAAATCCTCACCTTCTCCCTCAGCGACCTACCGACACCCTGCTCATTCAGGGCCTAGCGGGCGGGGTCTGAGACAGCTGAGGCTCAGCTGAATCATCTGCTCAAAAGCAGAGAGAGGAGACCACAATCCTCCTCATGGATCCCTACAGAGAACCCCCATTAAGCACAGTCCTTTTTGACCAGTGTGTGTTTGTTTGGGGGCTCCTGTTAGGGTCACCATGGAAATCTCAGCCATTGCCTTAAACCTGTAGCTTGGCTGCACTGGGCAGATGAGGGGAGCATGACCCTGTTAGATGTCAGTGTCACTTCATACGACGTCCTCAGCTGATCAGTTAAAATTGGGAACTGCCAGTTCCTGGTGCCCCTTACCATAAGAGATCTTTGGTTATTTCATACCATTGAGTACAGGCCTGTCACTGTATAACACTGGGGGTACAGCACTGGTGGGGACAGGTATATCACTGTATAACACTGGGGTACAGCACTGGTGGGGACAGGTCTATCACTGTATAACACTGGGGTACAGCACTGGTGGGGACAGGTATATCACTGAATAACACTGGGGGTACAGCACTGGTGGGGACAGGTCTATCACTGCATAACACTGGGGATACAGTGACAACAAGGTGCAGGGCTGGATGAACACAGCAGGCCAAGCAGCATCATAGGAGCAGAGAGGCTGACGTTTCGGGCCTAGACCCTTCATC